CTAAAGAAATAAAAAATATTTTGTTTGTCTTATTTTTTTCTGATAGGTTCAAACTAATACATTTACATTCTGCATCATCCCTTATTTTATCCCCATGGGGGTTGTATTTATCAAAATCCTATTTAAGCGAACGTCTTCATCATAGTAGCTCCAATCTTTAATTTCAGTTCAATCAGTCGAAAATCTAAGAAGATTTATATATACTTTCATCCCCAATTTAATCCCCTTAGGGATGGAATTTATCAAAATCCTTTCTTAGGGGATGCCTACATCATAGTAGCTTTATGCATACAAAATCTCAGCCCGATCGGTTTAAAATTGACAAAGTTTCATACAAAGTTTCATCCCCTTGGTGGTAGAATTAATTAAATTAGCGGATGCCTACGTCATAACATCTACCTGCATGCCAAATTTCAGCCCGATCCATCCAGTGGTTTGGGCTGTGTGTTGATAGATCACTATGTCAGTCAGTCAACCTTCGAGTTATATAGATGCATGACATCTTAGTCAGCATGAGTGGTATCATGATTGGTCACATGATAACGTGATGTCCATTTAAGGCGACGGTTTCCGCTTAGCGATTAAGGGTGTTTGCTTGTTTGTTAAAATATTAAACAAAGTTAATTCTAAGGCAATATTATTTTCATTTCAATTCATTCAATAATTACTGTCTTCGCCTTAATTGCACACAAAAATTGTGCAAATAAAATTGTATATAAAATATCGCCCGCAATAACATATAACATAATCATTCGATTGATACAAATTCTGCAAAATGTATAAATATATTGGACTCATTCTTATTTTGTTCTTCATTTACAACAGTTGCAACGGTGATGGTAAGATTCATACTAATGTTATAAATACGGTTATATTTCTGTCTGTACATATAAATAAAATTGGAGTATCTGTTTGTAATATTGAAATAACCGTTTTTTACCACACGCATATGAATATAAATACGGTACATACATCAAAATAACATTTTTTACAATTTGTGTCTGTCTATCTGTTTGGTCCGGTTAATCTCTGGAATGGTTGGACCGATTTTGACGGGTATTTTTTGGCAGGCAGCTGATGTAAGTTAGGCTATTTTTATTTTAGAAAAATAAAGTCAAAATCCACGTTTGGATGTTTAGGGATAAAATAGAGGATGAAAGTTTGTAAATTTCAAACCAATAGGGCTGAGACTTTGCATGCATAAAGCTACTATGACGTAAGCATCCCCTAAGAAAGGAGTTTGATGAATTCAACCGATAAGAGGATAAATTAACGCGAGCGAAGCTGCGGGCGAAAGCTAGTTCTTAGTATATATTTATTAATGAAATTTTTATTTTTTATTGACAGATAATATATGTTCACTGCCGTTAGAGACTGGTCCTTGTATGGCTCTCTTTAAAAGGTAAGTCATCATTGTTGACTTCAAAGTAGGGTAGATTCGGAACACTTTTCAGTTATCTATACTCGTATATATCAACAAAATTGGAGTGTCTGTTTGTAACATTGAAATAGCCGTTTTTTACTATGTGCGTATGAACATAAATACGGTACATACACTAAAATTTTTTACAATTTATTAAAATTTTTGTCTGTCTGTCTGTTTGTTCCGGCTAATCTCTGAAACGGTTGGACCGATTTTGACGGGTCTTTTTTGGCAGGTAGCTGATGTAATAAGGAGTAACTTAGGCTATTTTTATTTTAGAAAAATAAAGTGAAATTCCGCGAGATATTTCTAGCCTATGTGTGATTCTGATGTATAAGCTTTAAGTTTCATTATAATCCATTCAGTAGTTTTACGTGAAAGAGTAACAAACATCCATCCATCCAACACTTTTTCTATATATTTTATAATATTAGTAATATTTACGTAGATATATACATCTGAAGTTTTCGCCAGTCCTCTTTAGCCAGAGAAAGCCTTTATTATTATGCTCTATGCGTCTTGTTGTTTGTTCATCTTTGGGATTTCTGTCTTAAAAGTATGTTATTGTTATTTTCAGATACGGCTATGTTCAAGGTAAAGGCTGCATCGAATTCACATACGGTGGATGTGATGGGAATGCTAATAATTTCAAAACACTGGGCGAATGTATTGCCACCTGTGGAGCTTGATTTTCCAGCCAATTGTCGACATCAACATATTTTCATGTCATAATCTATACATATAAATAAAGTTGGAGTGTCTGTTTGTAATATTGAAATAACCGTTTTTTACTACATGTATATGAATATAAATAAATACACCAAAATACAATTTTTTACAATTTTTGTTTGTCTGTCTGGTTGTTCCGGCTAATCTCGAAAATGGCTGGACCGATTTTGACGGGACTTTTTTTGGCAGGTAGCTGATGTAATAATGAGTAACTTAAGCTACTTTTATTTCGAGAAAAATAAAGTTAAATAACACGCGGACGAAGTCGCGTGTACAGCTAGTGTTATATATATTTGTTTTATGAAAAAAATAAAGTGGTAAGTTTGGACGTTTGCTAGCTGAGTGTTGTATAAAATCTAATATGCAAATGTTTATTTATTTATTTATTTCTGATGGCCTCGGTCATCTGGTGGTAGTCTAGTGTTTAAGCAGTTCAGGTAATTAAATATTCTTCGCAACCTAATTATGTATGTATTTTTCTAAGATGGTCATAAACATTTTCTATTAGAAATGTATAGACAAAAAAGTAGGCAAGAAAAATGAAACTTGGGAAGCATTTTTTTTTCGGACTACTCTAATGCTGTTAGCCGCAGCTGGCCTTTACAGCTTCACCGGAAGTTAGAGTGCGAGTGCAGATGGCACTCCAAACCAAAGGGACTTATAGAACGGCTGAAGGCCAACTGCCTTCTCGGATACGACTTTAAAATAGATGGTATTTCAAAAGGTCCTTAATCCATTTTTAGTTGACATATACCGTTGGAATCTAATTTTATTTTATTTACCGTTTTATTAAAGGTCATTGCAAAATATAGCTTAAAGACCTACTCACTTGGGTAGAGTTTGTAAAAATTCTGTGTCGGTACCTCTGGTGGATTTCTTTCAGCTTCCTTTATAACTATGTATCAGTTTGAAAGATGAGATATGATATATATAATAATGAAGTACAGGTTTATCTTAGATTTTAATTCACATTTCCTTCACTATTTGTAATTTTTCTTTTCATAAGAACTTTTTTTTATCTTTGAAAATAAATAATAACTTCGGCATATAATGACTATCTATACATATAAATGAAATTGCGGTGTGTGTTTGTAATATGTAAATAACCGTTTTTTTACTACATGCATATGAATATAAAAACGGTACAAACACCAAATTAACATTTCTTACCATTTTGGCTGTCTGTCTGTCTGTTTATTCCGGCTAATCTCTGAAACTTTTATTGGCAGGTAACTGATGTAATAAGGAGTAACTTAGGCTATCTTTATTTTAGAAAAAATATTTTATTATAGAAAATAAATTTAAATTCCACGCGGACGATGTCGCGTGTAAAGCTAGTTGTAAATATAAATTTCTCTATACCATTATATATATTGCCAAATGACTATCTGTTGCCAAAATAATGAAAGAAAATAAACTAAAATACCTAAATTGGTTCAGCTCTGTTCTTTTTTTCCGTTTAGTTAATTAAACATATTATTTAGAGATTAATTTTAATTCAAACGGCACGAAATACCTTTACTTTCGTTATTATATTTAATATAAAAAAAAAACATAATTACATGAGCAGCAATGAATTATTTTTATTACTTACCCTTTCACATCTCGGATTTACCACAAAAATAATTAGACGGAATATCTGCCCGAAGGTTGACTGGTAGAGAATGCCATCAGACATTATTATACAATATTGTGTACAAAAGAATAAATAACCCTGAACAATTAACACAGCGCCATCTAGTCCCACGGTAAGCAGAGCTTGTGTTATGAGTACTAGACAACTGAAGTAAATACACAGATATTTAACATACATAGAGAAAGCCCAGACCGATACAAACAATTATACTTATGAATACAAATATGTGTTCCGTGCGAGGAATCGAACCCGCGACTATCGGAAGTAAGACGGTATGTTAAACCGCTTGACCACCGACGCCATCACGAAAAATAATTAATGTGTAATATTTTTAAGTTAATGTAATCAATGTATCATATCTGTTAGGGAATATACTCTCTGCTACCAAAATGTTAGGGAAAGTACTATGTATATATATATAGGGAAAAACGTCTGTCACGTACCTGTATGGTTCTGCGGATTTCTTGGGCTTCAGGGTCTCGAAGATATCTTCGCTAGCTTTCCAGTTTCACAGTAGGTTTAACACAGTTCTAATTTATTTTAATTCACAACACAATGCGCGCGCGCGTAAAGGCCGCTGTACGGTCAGTTCAGTACTGGGTAAGGGAGGGGAACGAAAGGCGCGGGAACAGAAAACTAACGGACTCTAATATAATAATCTGTGCTTACGATGGTACAGGGTAGATTTTGAACAATATCATATCATTTCATGTCATCAGCAACCCTTCCTTCTTCTCCCGCCCGGCAGCATGTACATACAGTGCGTTACCGTACAGCCGTCAGGATTTTACACCGCTCCGCGTCCATATAACGCCCACACATACCATTTTCCCTTGTGGGAAGGGGATTGTTAGTAATGTGGATTGATAACCCCATTGCTAATGTACCATATCAGGTCGACCTCCGCGCGGTTCCCCCTGGAAACCATCGAGTTAAATTCCTGGTGAATTTGTCACGATGGGCTAACTGACCTGACCTCATGCTCATCCTCCACTGGTGCCCCGCCAGCGTAAACCGTTAGCGCAGGCTGGTACACCATTATCATCCACAAAAAAAAATCATTTTCCCTTCAGTACACCAAATACTCACAAGCAAGCATCAATCCACACTCAATCATCGTGTACTCAATATATCAAGTTGAAAAGCAGCTCGGACTTATCATAACATCTAGATTGAGTGGGTTACAGCAAACTCATACATAAAGTAACTAACCTGATAGTGGCGATAGGGTCCTCGACCATACCCCAAGTTGGCCAGCATATCAGAGCTGAAGCGGTTGAACAAGCCGCCCCAAGCGTGTGCTGTTGCAACGCAACTTAACACCAGGATCGCGCTGACAGCCATGGTGGTGCTGTGGGCAACAATAATAATCATCAATCAATCAATAAACTAAACACCAAGAATTGAACCTCTAAAATCCGATTTAAAACACCTTAGTCAACATCATCATTTCATTTATAGAACATCTCTAGATTGTCCTTAGATCTTTGTCTTCCATTTAAAAAACTTTATTCAACATAATCATTTCATTTATAGTTAAAAAATCTTTACCATCATCATTGCATTTATAATTAAAAAAGTCTACAATTGGTGCTTATCATTACATAGTATAAAACAAAGTCGCTCTCGTTGTCTGTCCCTATGTATGCTTAAATCTTTAAAATTACGCAACGGATTTTGAAGCAGTTGTTTTTAATAGATAGACTTAATTCAAGAGGAAAGTTTATATGTATACACCCGTGTGAAACCGCGCCGAGTAGCTAGTCTATACATATAACTAAATTGAAGTGTCTGTTTGTAATACTGAAATAACCGTTTTTTACTACATGCATATGAATATAAATATGGCACATACATGAGATAACATTTTTTACAATTTTTGTCTGCTTGTCTGTCGGTCTGTTTTTCCGGCTAATCTCTAAAATAGCTGGACCGATTTGAACGGGACTTTTTTTGACAGGTAGCTGATGTAATAAGGTAACTTAGGATTTAAAAGAAATAAACGAGACATAACGGTCTATAACTCAGAGGGGGCAGTGAGTCCACTCTCTCTGCTATTCTGTATTAGCCTATATTAGTATATTAATACAATAAAAGATCAACGACAACAATACTGTAGACTAAGTTACTATCTACATTAACTATCTGAGAGAAAGTACCCTGAATATAGGGCCACTCTTTTCAGAGATTAACAAGAACAAAGCTTAAAAATTTTATAGTTCTAAATTCTAAATGAAAGGTATTCTTCTAAAAATGTAGAAAGAACTTTTCATTTAGATGTTACGAGTATAAAAATCGGGCAAAATCTGGTCGAGTCGCTAGTTAAAATTATATAACTTGGATTAAAATATAAGAACCTCTGTGAGTACATTGAACCCATTTACCTTATAATTGCCATGTAACTTCGCCAAATTAATTTTACGGGTTCCATCGGGATGTCAGAGAAATTTTGACTTTAATTAATTTATAATGGTAGGGTATCTAATAAAATTTACGTGTTTTATTATAAAATTTTGTTCGATTGTTGTTTTTTATGACACTGTCATTGCTAGCAATGTTCCATGTCAGGTTGACTTCCCTTGGAATCCTTCATGATATATTTCTGGTGATTTTGTCGTGATGCACTAACTGATCTGACCTCGTGTTCATCTTAGCATTCTCCACTAATGCCCCGCCAGCGTAAACCGTTAGTACCGTTAGTACTAAACTATTCCATTAACATCCGCTGTTTCCTCTGTAAATTTGAGTGGTAAATTACCATTTATCTAGATGGGCCAACTGACCTGACTTCATGCTTATTTTATCATGCTCCACTAGTGCACCCGCCTGCGCTAACGGTATACGCTGACGGGGCACCAGTGGAGGATGATGAGATAAGCATGAGGTCAGGTCAGTTAACCCATGGTCGGCAACGCGCGACACCCTGGTGTTTCAGGGTCCATAGGCTACGGTAACCGTTTACCATCAGATGGGCCGTATGCTTGTTTGCCACCTACGTGGTATAAAAAAATAACTCGTTTCCAAGTAGAACGACTAGATTTAAATACATATATACAATATGTATTACAAGGACGGATATACGCTCATTAAATTTAAACAAATGCATACATGCAAACAAAGTCATGTAGAATAGTTAGTTATAAAAATTTACGTACTAAGTCTAACCGCATTTATATAAATGTGTAACTAGGACGGATATACGCCCACTTTAAACTTAAAAAACACAGACGATGTCGCGAAAACTGGCTAGTTATAAAAAATTACATAAATTAAGCTTCATACCTAAAATATAGAACGCAGAAGCGAGCTTTTATCAAAATGAATACAACAATTAAGCATCTACGTTGCCGCTTAAGTACTGCAATTAAAAACACATTCACTCCGAAAAAGTGTCCTTATGACGTCACACCGTGAAAGCTCGCTAATTAAATTAATAGCACCGAAACGAAAATAGCGCTTAAAAAAGCTTTAAAAAATTGTTTGTAGCAATTTTATATGCGGTATAAAAACGGATTGTGTTACCAAACGACTGAAATGTGTTTTCCCTATGTTTGTATTTTTTTATGTGTACCCTTGATAGTAACTCTGCAGTAGTATATGTACTATGTTATAGTTTTAATTATAAATTAAGTATATTTGTAAAAAAAATTATGTATTAACTCGACTAAATACACATTTTTTTTTCTATATGCTTTTTCTTCAATATTCGATGACCTCGGTGGTGTGTGTGACCGCTAGGGTCATACACACCGCTTTACGTCCGATGGTCGCGGGTTCGATTCCTCGCACGTTGCAATATTTGTATTCATGACTATGATTGTTTGTATCGATCTGGGTATTTTCTATGTAAATTATTTATGTATTTACAAAAAAAATGTATGTATTTGTATCAGTTGTCTAGCACCCATAAAACAAGTTTTAGCTAGCTTAACTTGGGTCTAGATGGCGCTGTGTGAATTGTCCTGAGATTATTATTATTTAAACTTTACAAAAAAATCTCATCTATTTAGGTAAGTTGCCATCTCCTATCCTTAAGAGGGGCTTAAGGAGAGGAGATGGCAACTTATCCCCGGCAGAAGCACAGTCGGCCAGGGTTCAGGGCCCCAGGAAGAGAAACCGGCGTACAATGCGGGCAGAGGGCATCTAAGAGCACCGCTTTCTGCATCTTTCCTGGGAATGAGCCGCCTCGGAATCCCAACCGTCTGAGATGTTTTCCAGACTGGTTAGGGATAAGGCCGTTCACCGACATAACGATTGGAATGATTTCGGTGGACATCACCCCCCACATTTCGGTCACCTCGTGAGCCAGGTCGAGATATTTTCTCTTTTTCTCGGTTTCGGTTTTCACGAGGTTATTATTATTATTATAATTATTCTAAATGCCTGAAACTTTGTTGTCGACAAGAAACTTTCAGGCATTTAGAATATTAAAGAAAAAGCAATTACAAATACGTAATTTATAATTAATTTGATCAGATACTTCAAGTTATTTCTAATTACATAAGTTATACAATAATCCTTAGCTCATGCGAAATAACTCCAATCAAATCAATCTAATATCCAACATCATTTAATCAGTTATACCGAAAACTGGCTTCAACCCGCGACGTTGTCTGCTTTTGTAAGATATATTGTTGAAATAAAAGTAGCCTAAGTTACTCCTTACATCAGAATCATCATCCATAAAAAGTCCTGTCAAAATCGATCCAGCCATTTCAGAGATTAGCCAGAACAAACAGACAGACAGACAGAAAAAAATTGTAAAAAATGATATTTTGGTGTATGTATCGTATTTATATTCATATGCATGTAGTAAAAAACGGTTATTTCAATATTACAATCAGAGACTCCAATTTTATTTATTTGTATAGATTATTATTATAAACGTGAGTTTGCGAGTAAGGATGGATGTTTGTTATTCTTTCATGCAAAAACTACTGAACGGGTTTTGACGAATTTTTTTTTTTCGGACTACTCTAATGCTGTTTGCCGTAGCTGGCCTTTACAGCTTCACCGGACGTTATGGGGCGAGTGCAGATGGCACTCCATACCCGCGGAAGGACTTATGGAGCGGCTGAAGGCCAACTCCTGCCTGTCGGATACGACTTTAGTCTGAGGGCACCACTAGGGGTTCGAACCTCGGCTCAGGCCGTCGTAATTTCGATCCCCGTTTGAATTGGACGGGGGATCGATCGGAGGGGGTTTTGACGAACTTTACAGTAATATATATATATACTACATCAGAATAGCACATAGCTATACATTTCACGCGGGCGAAACCGGAGCACAGCTAATATAATATACATCAAGTAAACTGTATAAATAATCCTTAACTTGACTTAATCAATTTAATCGGATCTACCTAAAATTATTAACGAATAAATATCATCAGAGTACTAATAATAAGTTATTCTATTATAATAATACAGATTATAAATAAGGTTCGAAATCGGTCCACAATTAACGATAAATTGATTAATATTGAAGTAGTTTCGGTCGTATACTTTACGTATTATACAATTTTATATATTATTAATATTATAAACGCGAAAGTTTGTGAGTGTGGATGTTTGTTACTCTTTCTCGCAAAAACTACTGAACGGATTTTGATAAAACATTACAGTAATATAGCTTAAACATCAGAATAACATATAGACTATAAATTTCACACATAATAAAATAATGATGAATAATATATAAGTAAAGTGTATAATAATCCTTAACTTGTTCAGCTGAAGTAACGCCTATATTAATCAATTTAATCGGATCTACCTAAAATTATTAGCGAATTAATATTAGAATAATTGGTTATTAATACTCTGATATTATCAGAGTATTAATAACTAATTATTCTAATATTAATACGGATTAAAAAATAATGTTAGAAATTGGTTCACAATTAACGATAAATTGATTAATATTGAAGCAATTTCGGGCGAATGGTTAACTTATTATATAGTTTTATATCTTATTAATATTATAAACGCGAAAGTTTGGGAGTGTGGATGTTTGTTACTCTTTCTCGCAAAAACTACTGAACGGATTTTGATAAAACATTACAGTAATATAGCTTAAACATCAGTATAACACATAGACTATAAATTTCACACATAATAAAATAATGATGAATAATATATAAGTAAAGTGTATAATAATCCTTAACTTGTTCGACCGAAATAACGTCCATATTAATCAATTTAATCGGATCTACCTAAAATTATTAGCGAATAAATATTATCAGAGTACTAATAATAAATTATTCCATTCGTTTAAAGTGGCCATTTGCGAAATTAATGAATGCAAATAAGTTAGATCTTTGTTGTAATTGAATTATTTATATATTAGATTGTTTTAGGGAATTTTGCGCAATATAATTTTAATTTGTAACTAACTTGTTACCGGCGACTTCGTCTACAAAAAGTTTCATCCCTTTTTCAACCCCTTTAGGATTATTTAACGGTAATTTCGTCTACAAAAACTGTTATGCCTTATTCAACCCTTTTAGGATTATTTCACGGTGACTTCGTCTACAAAAACTGTTATGCCTTATTCAACCCTTTTAGGATTATTTCACGGTGACTTCGTCTACAAAAACTTTCATGCCTTATTCAACCTCTTTACGATTATTTCATGGCGTTTTCGTCTACAAAAACTTTCATGCCTTATTCAACCTCTTTACGATTATTTCACAGCGTCTTCGTCTACAAAAACTTTTATACCTTATTCAACCCTTTTAGGATTATTTCACGGCGACTTCGTCTACAAAACCCCCCTTTTTCTTACCCCTAAGTAATAAATGTTGTCCACCCCTAACATTTATTAATTTTTTTGGATTTTTTTTTATTTTTTTATTATATGACATTAAAAATACATACAACTTTAAATTTTCACCCTTCTATTACCAAACCCTATTTTTAATAGCGATTTTAATTTATATGGCATAAAACCCGTTTGCCGGGTCAGCTAGTAAAATTATATAATTATGTAATAAGAATAAGTGCACTAGTTCATACTCGCGACTTCGCCTGCACGAAATTTTCATCCCTTGTTCCAGATTAATTTTCAAGATACAAGATAGTATATGTCTGGCCGCATGGTACATTCTATTTTCATATTAGAATAGAATAGAATAGAATAATAGCAAGCTTCTTGGCAGCTGAAGTAAATATTTTGGGGGTAGAATAGAGAACACTTTTTAACATCTATCCAAAAGAGCAACACACAAGTTTCTTGCCCATTCTTCTTGTGATGAGTCTGCGTTCCGAATGAGCGGTAGAATAAAAAAATATGACTGTTCAAAAGCGTTTGTATTGAGTTTATTTAATTAAAGATTATTTCTGTTTCGATTCGCTCCTTCGGAAAGCTACATTATAAGAAGAAAGAGCAAGAAACTTGCGTGTTGCAATTTATTAAATTTCATTAAAATCCATTCAGCCGTTTAGGCGAAAAAAGTAACAAACAGATAGACATACGGGTAGATAGGCACTTTTACATTTATAATATTCGTATGGATGGATAGTGGCTTTGCTTCCGGAAATCTGTAGTTTATCGATTCGAACCCGTGACCATGAGATAATAAGGCGGTGGGCTTGAACACCGAGGTCAACAAACGTCGGTAGAATATGGTCTGAATTGTTTTATACTATCTGTGCCCGCGGTTTCATCCGCGTTGAGTTTCAATATATAAATTTCATTAAAAAATATAGCTTATATGTTATTCTGATGTATCATTACATAGTATAAAACAAAAACGCTGTCGCTGTCTGTCCGTCCCAATGTATGCTTAAATCTATAAAACTACGCAAAGGATTTTGAAACGATTTTTGTAATAGATACAGTGATTCTACAGAAAGGTTTATACATATATATATATATATAATACATGTACACCCGGGCGAAGCCGGGGCGAGTAGCTAGTAAGTTATATAACTATAAAGTTTCATCAAAATCTGTTCAGTAGTCTTAACGTGAAAGAGTAATAAACTTTTGCATTTATAATATTATATTAGGATTAAAATTTGGGGGAGATGGGATTGTTACTATAGGAAACAAGTGGTCCTATTACTAACCATGTACCCTATCAGGTCGACCTCCACGCGGTCATCAGTGGAAACCATCGTGGTTTATTACTACTCTATTCTTTACAATGAGGTATGTGACCTGACTTCTAATGAAAAGAAAATCGCTGAAAAATATATATAAGACTATAAGCAATTTTTTTTATTATATCACTAGCTGTTACTCGCGGCTTTCTCCACATGGAATAACTAAAGTAGTTAGACTACATTTATTATAGTTACTCCTTCTAACATTAGTAACCTGTAAGTGAAATTTCCGTCAAAATCGGTCTTTTGATGATTAACAAGATCAAACGGACAGACAAAGGAACAAACATTTTTTTTTAATGTAACTACATATATACTTTTATATGCATTTAATGAATAGCTGTTAAATTGAAATCACATTTAGACACTTCAATTTTATATATTTCTATAAACTACTGGCATGTTTTATTAATATTTAAATCTCAATATAAATCGGTTGTTTTTTTTTTTTGGACAATTCACACAGCGCCATCTAGACCCAAGTTAGCTAAAGCTTGTGTTATGGATCCTAGACAACTGATACAAATACATATATAATTTTTTTTTCCTAAATACCATTTCCATACATATTATACATAGAAAATACCCAGACCGATACAAACAATCATACTCATGAATACAAATGTTTGTGCCGTGCGAGGAATCGAACCCGCGACCATCGGACGTAAAGCGGTATGCTAGACCGCTAGACCACCGAGGTCGTCTGTTTATTGCTTAATCATATCCTTTATACTGTGCCATAGACATTCATAAATTCAATTTCATTCATTAAATCGATCGATTCATTAAAAATACATCACCTACATCATTAACACTTTTTTTATAAAAAAAAACATCGTTATCATCCACTATTTCAGTGCTATTATATACTAGCTATCCGCTTCGGCATCGCACTTATTCTAAATATAACTCTTCCTTTTGAATCATTCTATCTATTGCTAAAAACTGCATTAAAATCCGTTGATTGGTTTAAAATTCTTCATTTTAAACTATGACTACTATATGACTTCATTTTTATATTATTATATTATACTAAAGACACCTGAACAAAAAAAGAAAATGGTTTTTGAAATACCCTTTAAGTTCATGTCAATTTAATTCCAAACGATCAGAATATATAATTTTTTTTATAACCTTATTTTATCAAACCGAGATTTTTAGCGACATTTAGGTTTTTAATAATGGTAAGGACATTAAAATGTCAAAATTTCTGAATTCGAAAATTAAAATAATATTATTTTTTATATTTCAGTTTCAAATTAAAAAACTAAACGCACTCATTGTAAGTTTAATTCTCGAACACAAATATTGTCATTTTTCATTTTAAAATTTCTGAGTTCGAAATTTAAGATTATATTATATTTTTTTTGTTTTAGTTTCAAATTTAAAAACTAAACGCGCTCATTTCATGTTTAATTTTCGAATTTCAAACTAAATAAAGAAAGATCTGTTTTTAATATTTCTTAGTTCTAAATTCAAATATTTAAATTGTATTCTTAATTTAAAAGTTTGGAACGTACGCCTATAAATAGTAGCTGTCATTGCTATTTTGAGGGATTCGAGTCGATAATATGAATATTCTTTATACTTACCGGTGCATCGCGCTGTCTGGTCGGCGGTCACAGATATACTGCTCGGTTCGCGATCTATATTGAAGTTCTTAGTGCGCATGCATGGGTTTTAGGGCGTGTGCATACTGGAGTCCTTCCTATTGCGACGATTCTTTTTTTTTTTCGGACTATTGCTGTTGGCCGCAGCTGGCCTTTACAGCTTCACCATGCGACTACTCGTTATTGACTGCACATAAAATGGACACAGATCCGACATGTGTCTAGCGCTTTAGCGTACCGTTTTACTTCCGATGGCCGCAGGTTCGAATCCTCGCATTTAAACATGATGAATATATTCACAAGTATAATTGTTTTTACTGATCTGGGTGTTATCTAAGTATATTATTTATATATTTCCAAAAAAAATTTAGTCTATCTATCAGTTGTCTAGTACCCATAACACAAGCTCTACTTAATTTGGGACTAGACGGCGCTGCGTGAATTGTTCAGTGTTATTATTTTTAAGTGACGGTCACCACTAAATAGAAATTTCAACTTGTTTAATATTCCAGGTACATAAAAATCAGAATTTTAAAAAAGTTACATAATAGTTACAATTATGAACGCACCCTTATATCCTAGCTTAAGCCAGAACCAACTTAACGCCGACAGCCTGTAGGTCTTACTTTTGTATGTTTTTATATCGCCACCTCCGAAAATAACATCCCCAGACGATCTGTTGCTCCCTAGTTCACCCTTCTATATCTGGCGGTGAACTCATACATAAATACTACTACTCATACATAAATTAGGGGAGGGGGTTTTAGTAATAGGGACTAGTGGGCTCATTGCTAGCTATGTGCTATTTATTTTATTTTATTTTAGGCTATTTTACCCAATTCGTTATTAAAACAATTTCCTTACAATTAATGATAGTAAAATAGAAATTAGTGGGCCCATTGCTAGTAATCTGCTATTTGTTTTATTTTATTTTATTTCAGGTTATTTTACTCAATTCGTTACCAATACAATTTCCTTACAGTTAATGATAGCAAAATTAAAGAAAAATGGAAATTAGTGGACCCTTTGCTAGTAATGTGCTATTTGTTTTATTTTATTTTATTTCAGTCTATTTCGTTAATAATTCAATTTTCTTACTATTATAGATAGTAAATTAAAAAAAATAGTAAAAGAAATAGAAATAATCTTTATTCAAATAAACTTAATACATATAAGCACTTTTGAATAATCACGTTTTTTTATTCTACCACTCATTCAGAACGCAGACCCATCACAACAAGAACAAGCTCACAACTTGAGGTTTTTTAAGAAGGGTATATTAAGGTTTCTTAAGGGTCGGCAACGCGCATGTGACACCCCTGATGTTTCAGGCGTTCATAGGCTACGGTAACCATTTACCATCAGATTGGCCGTAAGCTTGTTTGCCACCATAGTAGTATAATGTTGTTATTGCTCTTTTATTATATATATATATTATGAATTTTAAGTTAGAAACACTTCAATTTTATAATAAGCTTAATTACAAAAAATACGTTTTAAAAAAAAAATTACACAATCTTTTTTCTAACAGATTGAGGACAGATTCTGGCTGTTCGTTGTAAAACCTTGCACAATTTAATTATTACCTATATCACAAGCTCTGCTTAGCTTGGAACTAGATGGCGCTGTGTAAATTGTCCAGGGATCATATTATTATTATTTCGCCTTTATATGAAAGAAATATAAATAAATATATGTTCAGATTCACTCAGAATTTCGAAATTGTTTTCCTGATGACCATCGTATGTGAAGTCAATACAGCCTTTGCCTTCAAAATAACTGTACCTGAAAATTTGATAAACTATATAAGTACGTTATGATGGTATAATACACGAGGTGGAATTACAGCGCGAAGACGAGGGCGTAATAAAGCCGAGTGTGTTAAAAACGCACGTACATATATCGTAAGTTATTCAACACACTTAATTTTAAATAAACACAACAATAAAACTGTGATGCAATCTGTTGCTTTCCCGCCATTTAATTTTTTAAATCAGCGCGCTGCCGTCACTTCGAAATTTGAAAAATAGCAAACAGTTCAATTATGGAATATAACTTCACTATTTGCGTTTATAACGCCAGCGTGTTATATGAGCTGCTTTATATATAGAAAACCGGTGAAATTATATCCACTTCACGAACAAGTGTGAAAGTAACATTTAAAAAGAAATCCGACGTTCTTGAATTTAAAAATAGAATAATAAAAAAAATAATAGACGTTGTTACGGTAACAGAAATTTAAATTAAGAATAAATAGTACATAGCAGGAAATATTAAAATAAATAATGATAAAGATTCGAAATGGAATTAGAACAAAAGAAATATAAAAAGCATAGATCTTTATTTAGGCAACGTAATTTGAATTAAGAATGACTGTTGTCGGGCGGACTCGATCGAACGAACTTGAATCTAAGAAAATAATATTTAAATATAGAATTTAAATAATTAATAGATACTTACAGATATATTTTCGGTAATGGTCACACTTCGAACTATTTATTGTTAGACAAAATTGTAAGTCTGCGCCGTTCGTCTTGCAAACGGTCAAAAGTATCCAAATTTTGTCCGGGCTCTAGAAAAAAATCATCAAAATCGGTACATAGATAATTAACGCTGTATAGCATAATTTGAAGTTAGACTTTGTAGATTTGTCTATTTTTCGGACTACTCCAATGCTGTTGGACGCAGCTGGCCGCTACAGCTTCACCGGACGATAAAGTTGTCTGCGTATGTTTCACCTTACCTATTTCTGCTGCAAAACAGCGTTTATTTATTTATTTAAGACTAGCTGTCCTCGCGACTTTGTCCACGGGCAATTTAACTTTATTTTTCTAAAATCAAAGTAGCCTATGTTACGCCTTATTACATCAGCTACCTGCCAAAAAAAGTCCCGTCAAAATCGGTCTATCCATTTCAGAGATTAGCCGGAACAAACAAACAGACAGATAGACAGATAAAAATGGAAAAAATGTTATTTTGGTGTATGTACCGTATTTATATTCATATGCATGTAGTAAAAAACGGTTATTTCAATATTACAAACAGACACTCCAATTTTATTTATATGTATAGATTACTTGTTTACTACCCTTACACTTTTTGACATCCTTGTTAGTCTAGCGGTTTAGCACACCGCCTTACTTTCGATGGTCGCGGGATCGATTCCTCGCACAGAACAAACATTTGTATTCATGAGTATGATTGTTTATATCGGTCTGGATGTTTTCTATGTACATTATGATATGTAACACCTTATTGGTTGATGATAATGGTCAATGACGCTAAATGTCGACAAAGTGCTGACTCTAAAGTCAGCTACGATATCCGAGACATGCTCTGTAACGCGTGTTTACATTAGTAGCGTCATCGAGTGACCTACATTCTTTTTTATGAATTGCGCAAAGTTTCTTTTTATTATTGAGTGTTTTGGGCTATTTGTCAGGTGCTAAGACTTGTAGCACTGCGACCTGTATAGATCTATTGTGCTCGCCCTTTTTAACCTAGACCCGTGAACAAGAATTGAAGGATATTCTGAGGAGTGATGGTATTAAAGAATTAAAGAATTTCATCATCATCATCGCAGCCCGGAAGACGTCCACTGCTGGACATAGGCCTCCCCCAAAGATCTCCACGACGATCGGTCTTGCGCTGCTCGCATCCAACGCCTTCCAGCGATCTTGACCAGATCGTCGGTCCACCTTGCTGGAGGTTTTCCCACGTCTTCCGGTCTTCTTTATTTAAACCAAAAACAAAGTTTTAACAATAACATGTTAAACAACTACATCAATTTATAAAAAAAACTTATTTTTTTCGGACTACTCTAATGCTGTAGGCCGCAGCTGGCCTTTACAGCTTCACCGGATGATAGGGGGCGAGTGCAGATGGCACTCCAAACCAAAGCAAGGACTTATGGAGCGGCTGAAGACCAACATGAACTTTAGTCTGAGGGCACCACTAGGGGTTCGAACCTCGGCTCAGGCCGTCGTAATTTCGATCCCCGTTTGAATTGGACGGGGATCGATCGGAGGGGTTAAAAAAAACTGTGTTACAGTTATTTCCGATCATTTCCAGAGCTAATGCATACAATCTAAATAAAAACGAATGAAACTAACTGAATATTTCTACTTAAGAACATTTAGAGAAAGACAATGTATGTATATAAAATAAAACAAATGATACTTATAATTTATGAGCATTGGAGCATGTGTGTGTGTGAGTGTGTGGAAGTGTATGTATGTATGTGTGTGTGTGTGTGAGTGTGTGGAAGTGTATGCATTTGTGTGTGTGTGTGTGTATTATCTCCTCAGGATAGAGTATATGTCTTGAACTTTTCCATGTCAGATGAAAATCCAATTGGCATAAAACAAATATTTATATTATACTTGCTTTTACCCGCGACTACGCTTGCATAACTTCATTACCTACTGGCTGCTATTTGGCGCTGTAATAGCAAAATGTTAAAATTTTATTTTTTATAATAAAATACTTGTTTTTTTTAATAAAAAAGTATATATATGTTCATTTCAATATCTCCAAGAACATGTGTACAATATTTCATGATGATCAGTTCAGTAGTTTTTGCGTGAAAGCGTAACAAACATTCATACTTTCACATTTATAATATTAGTAAGGATCTGTATAGTGTGAGGAATCGAACACGCGACCATCGGCAGTAAAGCAGTGTCCTAAACCGCTAGACCATCTAAGGCGTCAAATACTTACATAAAAGAAGTCGCTTCCACTGTCTGTTCACTTAAATCTTTTAAACTACGCAACGGATTTTAATGCAGTTTTTAACAATAGATAGAGTGATTCAAGAGCTTCCTTATGAATCACTCTTTATATGTAAAAGATTTGTAATGACGACCTTGGAGGTCTAGCGGTCTAGCACACCGCTTTACATCCGATGGACGCGTGTTCGATTCCTCGCACGGCACAAACATTTGTATTCATGAGTATGATTGTTTGTATCGGTCTGGGTATTTTCTATGTATAATATGTAT